TCATCCTATTTTTCCCTTGATCCTGTTGAGGTAGTGTACTGGGTTCAGCTGTAACAGCAAGCAAGCAACTGGTCAGGCACCTGGCACAGCCATGGACAACCCACAGAGATTCACCTGCAAAAGCACAGTCATAATCCAATCAAATGTACCAGAAACCCTACAACAAACCCTACTACAGCTTTTAGAGTCTGCTGGCACATGAAAAAGGAGTAACAAATGAGGGTGTAATAGTTTTGCTTCTGCTGCTCAAAGTCACAAAGTCTTTCAAGAGCCGCAATTACCACAGTCCCTACAATTCCCTGAAAATCACCGTCATCACCCTTGAGTACACCATCCATCAGCAGAGGATCCTGCATAGCCCTCACACAAGCGATGACTCAAAGTCTTTCCGAGTCATCACCACAGATGAAAACTCATTTTCCCCAAACCTCCCATTTTTTTACCCAATACTTACCAGGTACAAGAGATCAGACTAACAGTATCATAAGCCTTAAGGGAGAAGATACTAACAATGATACTAAGAATGGTTTTTAAAGATTAAAGAGAGGCAATTCAGCTTCTCTACTTGCAAAAAAGACTGAAAGGTTTAAAAAAACTATTGATAAGGAATAGCTGTTGCATTATGCTACCATGGAAATGCTTAGGTGGTGACATATAACAGTGTTATAATAAGAAGCAGTTAGTATTTAATGTGGATTTAATGCGTACCTGAAGAGAGCTGATGTCAGGAGAGAAAATAACAAAGACACCAGAAATTAGCTTATAGAAGCCAGACAGCACACAGCTGTGGCCTTTCAAGCTGCATGATGAAAGCCTGAATAAAATGTTTTCATGTGCAAGAAGACTTGAAAGTTCAAGTTTATAAAGAAAATTGTAGTAAGGTATGAAAATAAAGTTCTGCAGGAGGTACGTCTACAAGGTATTTCCATATGCTTAATGTAAATCTAGGTCAAGAATAATGGAAGCCAGCACAGTTAAAGATACAAAGTGCACAGCCCAATGGAACCTATTCTGCAATAAACTTTATTGGTGTCTGGACTAATAACACAGGGGCTTTATTACATATGCTGTGACTACTTTTTTGCTTCCAGTATAAAGAATAACTCTGTGTATACTTTTGAGCTTATGATATGCGTGACTGATTTGTCCAATTCAATTTATAGAGGCAGAAACTAAAGGTATTTCTTTAATGAGAATTTAAGATCACAGTGTTACTGGCCAAAAAGTTATTTATTAGTACTGTACAACTTGCCTCTGCTGACAAGCAGGTAGAAATAACTTATATTTAAATTACTGGATAAAAGCTACTAAAATTCTTGAAGTAGACATCAGAATGCGACAAGCAATCGGCTACTCAAAGGCTGTACAGATTATAAGCATGATGAAGACAGTCTGCAATAAAAAGACTGCTTCTGCATCTTCAGAACCATGGTAAAGGCAAATCCAGTTAAAGTTCTTCCTATGACATTGACTCATGGATATTGATTTTTCTGAAATTGAGTACTTGCATGACTCAGTTCACGTGGCACTGCTGGAAATGTGACAAATAGTGTATTTTGCTACTGAGCACAGCAAAACAAGGGCACAAGTAAAATCCAGAAGATCAGGTTTTGGGTAGGAAGAACTGTTTTGCACATGCCCTACTACGCTTATGATATTCCAGGCAGTATTTTTCCTTACAAGCTTTGACAACAGTAAACATTCTCTTCCCTTCCCAGGACAGATCTAAAAACTGTAACAGCTGAAAGATGCCCAACCCTCCTGAAAATGAAATAAAAATTTAACAAGTGTAGCATTACCAATACAGAGAAGTTATGTTTCCCAAACTCGTGGATCTGTTTCTACCCTGTCTTCGAGGATTAGCATCATGTGAACATCTGGTATGAAATGCATGCAAAGCACGGACTCTGAGGACAAACATGATACAGTAAGGATTGCTGAGGTCCGACAATGCTCATCATGAAATTCAGTCATTTCTGCACAGGGCTTTCAGGTCACGTTTCTCTGGGTGTGTGTTCTTGAAGGCATAAGGCAATAAATTAGGCTACTGTTAGCAAGAGTTGCCAAAATTTCAGAGAATGAGAAAATGCATCTAGGTTCAATATACAGGAAAAACAGGGGAGTTTTACCTAGCTGACTGGTTTAAGGAGTCTACGTGAATCCTGGCTAAAGATCCCTTAATGAAATCACTATAATATTTTAGTTTTGAATTATCTGCCTCTTCTTTCCTGTGCAGCAATTAGTTCTTCACTTCTCATCTGGACCTTGGAACTCTTCACCCGTAAATCCCCATGCCTTCACAAGAGTTAACTATTCCCATTTTATAAATAGGAAAACAGACAGAAGAGAACTTCAGATATTTCTGACTGACTCTATAATTCGCAAGTCAGTAGCAGAATCAGTGAAAAGCAGATACTCTGCATTCTTTGCCAATGCCAATACTAATGTTTAACTGTATGTCTACTTCAAATAGGATGCAATAATAGAAATACTAAAGATCCCCAAATTAAGCAGCGTTTTCAGGTCTGCTTCACTTTGAAGTTTTAAATACCAAATAGGAACTGCAGTACCAAATGAATATTGAACGGAGGAACAACTGTATTATACTGGCACCTTCCTTAAATATGCAGACCTCAGAGATTACAATATCAGCACTTCTTTTTTCTCCTACTAGGCCTGAAGCACTAACACAGCTCAGAAGGCTGGAGATGAACGCTCTGACCTCTTGTGTATTACCAGTAGATCTATTGAAATTTAAATAGCCTGTGAGCAACCTGCAGAAGTCAACAGCCATGACTGAGGCCATGATCAGAAAACAATTGTCTTAGTAATACTTCTGTAATGCTAATTTTTCCCCACTCAACAAACCTGAAATTCCATAGGGAGCAGGAATAAAACCATAATGGCTTTGCAGAGGATTTATGCCTGGGGATATTTCATTTTGCCAATTTCAAAACAGGGGAAAACCTACCACCTTTGTACCTAAGTTTTACCATAAAACATGGAAGCTCAGCAAAGTTATTTTTATGTTGCTCTAAGAGTCAAAATTCTATTTACTTGTATTTTAAACAGTATCCAAAGTTCTATTCCTCCTATGTTACCTGTTAAAGATAGGGTAATACCCACCACAAAAGGTCTGGCAAAACTGTAGCATGACTGAGAACTGAACCTGAACTGTACATATGCAGCCATACTTACAAAAGCTGCATAAGCAGCTGCTTATTTATCTTCATCAGTCACACTGGGAGATAAAAATCAATTGTTATTAAAACTACCTACATGTGAAACAATCTTTGGTTCGGGTATAAATGAATTTTTACCTACTTACCAAAATTACATTTCATTTTTTCCACAATTTTCTAATGTGATTTACTTAAAACTGGGGGGTGGGGAAGAATAATAGAGCTAACAATGGTTTTATAGGAGCTGCGAATTGACTTTCAGCTACCAAGATAAAAGAACACTAGCAACGACTTCTACTTAAATATTGTATTAATTTTCACTTCACAGCTGTAGTCACCAAACTCAGCATTTTTGCACTGCATAACAAGCTGCTATTATAGGAAGTAAAATACTCTAATTCAACACTCCAACTTAAGAGACTCATAATTAGATGAAGTAATACCAAGATTCTTCTGTGCCTTAAGATACACGCAATCATTTGGCTTCATTATTCCAGATGTTTTCCTATGGTTCCTGGTATATGGGAGGATCAAGATATGAAAGCAGCCTTTTAAGTAACCAACTTTGAACAGCCTCCATTTCAACCCTTGTAACATTCTTCCACAAATTCCCAAAGGATGCCTTATAGCACTGAAGCAATCACTTCAGGTCATAAAAAGATAAAGAACTTTAAATAAGTCTGCATTTTTTCTAGTGAGAAAATTATTATTTATGCTCTTGAAATGAAAAAGACTTTGCACAAAAGGTCTGGAAAGATCTTGCTTTAATTACATATTTCAAAACTGAATTACACAAAACAGTTCTACTGCTTATACTCAGCAAATATATTAAAAACTTACACAAGACCAGGAAACAAATAAGCAGTCTAGTCTGTAACTAACTCAGATGTTCTCTGGAGTAGCATGTCATCAGAAATTTCTCCCTTGTGACTGAAAACAAAGAGGGAGAAGGGGCAAAGAAAATGAGTTTCAGCAAGAAACTGTAACACCCCTTTTGATCTCGCATGCAAACTGAGAATGAGAAAAAGTTTTGATCATTCAGTCTACAGCCTTATTTAAAGATCAAAAAAGTGTGAGCAGCTTAAAGCCTTACTTCATTAACAGGAAAGAGGCTGTGCCCAAATAGTTAATTGAATGGTAAGTGGGACATTCTTGCAGCTCTGCTTAAATGACAGAAACATCATTATTTATAGACTGTCCTGCAGTCCACAGAAGACAACCATGGTCCACTTGACAAGTTTTTTCCATACAGTCTGTCTTTTCAAATCTTCTATTATCTACCTGCTACCTTAAGATCTCCAGGTTGAGCTTTTATAACTTGCTAAATAAATTAGATATATTAACTCAAATCTCACAGCCATTTTGAAACAGAAACTGCATATAGTATATGGTGACAAGAACTTTCAGAAAACTTGAAAACAAGTGGCTCAAGATATTTGCCAAGGAGAGCCTTCTTTTACCTACAAAATTAAACATACCAGTGATAAAGTTCTGCTGCAATACAAGCTGGAATGAGTGAGACTACATAAATTCTAATCCTTAACATACATTTTCTCAGCAAGTGAAAATGGCTTCAGCAAGTCAATCCATTTTGCCCATTCCTTTGAAGATGCCACAAAAACTTTGCTTAATGCAGAAAGAATATCAAAGTGTCATTCACTCTCTTGGACACGCTAATTTGGATGCTTGTTAAGTCATATGTTACTATGATTCATTGTACATTTGGCTAATCATTTAACAGCTAACAAAATGCTTAACATTTGAAAATGCTTGAGCATGGTAGATGAGCGATCAGAAAAGTACTTAATGTCCAGCTGATTTACATTTTCTGTCTGTTGTCCACTCTAACCATTTAAAGTATGTTAACACATCATATATTACCTGCTTTCATTTAAGTATCTTGCTGTGCAATACAATTCACGTAAGATCAGAGCTAATTTTGATCTTTGATGACGTACAAGAGATCCAAAATCAGATTGGCTGTCTCCAGAGCTACTTGCAGGCCACTGCACTTTGCAGCATAACAGTCCAACGTCAGAAAGTCAGCAGCCTTTGCTGGGGGCTCTTTAGGGCAGTACTGTATAACAGCGAAGCCAAACTGGCTCTGCAAAGGCCTCCATTTGAGATTCTCACCATTACCATTAATCCCACAGCCGCATTTTGAAACCAAGTCTGACCAACTAGAGACAGGTGGAAAACCTGGTGGAACAAACCAACAGTGTCCATAAACCATGTCTGTAAGAATTTCTCCCTCATTGTGATTCAGAGAGCGAGCTACAGATTCCAGGGAACGGCAAAACCCATCAGCAACCAGTTGGTATTGTGTTTGAGAACAACCTATATCTTCAAAACTGCTGGTGGACAGACTGAAACTCTAAAAACAAAACAGGAAAACAGAAAATCAGAGCACTGTTTTGCAGAACTAATTTTAATCAAATATGTATCATACTATTGCCTTTCTTTTTTAAACAGATGGTTGAGTCCTAACTAATAAAGTTTTTCATGTGATTATTCCACAATAGGGAAGATTTCTAAATGAGTCAAAACTGAGTTCTGCACAATTATGTGTCAAGATAAAAATAACTACACATTTTTACTTTAATGCTTAGAACAAGTACTTACTATAATAGATTCCTAAAGATTAACAAGTACAAATACAGTATTATCAAGTCTAAAAATGTAATTGAGTGTTTTAAATAGAACTTCTTGTTTTATATTGGTAGGCACACAACAAATATGCAACATCAACCTAGAAAAGACAAGTGTTTAATTGCAGCAGTGATTATACATAAATTCCTGTTTCCTAAATATATTAAGCAGCTTTAGTAAAACCCTTATCTTTCATACCTTATGTCTTATATAGGAAGCCAGGTGAGTTTCTGTACAGCCACCTCCTAATAACGCCAAAGGTTCCTTCAGTGTTAACTGTAACACATGTTCTGCAGTTTCACAAGCACGCTGAAAACCATATTAATTTGACATTAGACATACCATCATTAATAGGATTTTCCCCCACTGAAAAAACTACTGGAATAGAAGTTTCAGTACTTTCTGGTACAGACTTCATAAACATGAATTATATGTGGATATAAACTGCATTTCCAAAACCATGTTCACTTAATGAGAAACTGTCTTTATTTGGCCACATTCAGTATGAAAAAGAAGAAATAAACCCACAGTATTTTATTCCTTCTTTTGCAAAACACGGTTATATATAAAAAGTCAATCAGTCCCTATGACATTTCTAAAGCAACTATTCAAGGCAAAACTAATGCTTGACTACTACTGCAGGTACTGCTGCTGGCCTTTTGCTGGGCAATTTTTTCTTTATGCTGTCATAGACCAAGAAGTAAGAATGAAAATGTTTATACTCTGCAGAGGCCTCAAGAACAGGTGAAAAATGTTTGCCTCTAAACAGCTTTCTGTATTAAAAGAGAGGCATTAAATGAACATGAACTCTTCAAGGGCTTTGCAATTTTGGAAACAAGCATGTTTCTGAACTGCTTTGTTGAAACTGTATACCTAAAAATCTAACTAAATTCCATTTATGTACTGAAAATTCGCTTTCTAAACACACCATACCTATATTTTTCATAATTTTTTTTCTATTAAAAACATGACTTTTCAAGAAAGTGTTCAAGAAATTTGTCTACCTTCAATTCATCCCATGCTGTTTCACTTCTGTTACAGAGTATCAAGCTGCAGACAACTGTGTCATTAGGAATTAGATGCACAAAGTTTCTGGAAGCAAAACTCTCAATGCACATGTCTTTCAAACTGCCATAACAACCAGGAGACAAGTTGTGTATGGAACCTATTGGCTTTGAACCTGTCCAATGTAGAAAAACAAAGAAACAACATGTATTACAGTCATCACAACAGTTTTTGTTGCATTTCATAAAGCATGCTCTTGGCTTTTTAATCGTTTTTCAATAAGTAACATATTGATCTAAGTAAGAAATCAAATACAGAAACCAAGGAGTTTAAGACAAAAAAGTAATTGTTTTGTTCTCATTAAATTTGTAAATCTATTTCTGCAAAGAGTAACTATAACTGGATGTTCCTCCTGCAGCTATCAGTAGTCACATGTGCAATGTTTCATCATTAGAGCCTGCAAAAGATCAATCTCACCTCAAAAATAGTTTTCAAACTAGAAAACAGTAACTTTGCTCAGCTGTTTAGATAGGATACAGGCAGAAATAAGAGAATCCTTATTCTGCAAGGATGCCAACCTAGATAGATTTTCATTGAGAGATCAACATTACAGACAATTGTTTAGTACAGAAAATTCCTCTGTTACCTGTCATCCGACTCAGGGGTTCCATGAGAGCCAGCCCAGCTCTGTCCAAAGCGATGACACTGTTCTCTTTCAGATACTGCTTCAAGGAGGGGTGGATAACTTTCTGGCACACTACAAGGCCAACCTCATCATTAACCAGCTGCTTGCCTACGTTAAGCAATTGATTCAGCTCTGACATTTCTAGAGAAATTCCGTGATGGACAGTTATAGTTCCTTCTTCAGGGTTGAAGCTGTCTCCTGACATGGATACACAGAAAAGTGCTATCTTGATCATGTTTGAACAAGCTCTTTTGACAGTAAGTGGTTTTGCCAATTGGATTTCTGGGGCTTCTATCAGTAGTCCAGGAAGAACTGCAGAATCCATAACTCTTCTACCTTTCATGGGTACTATTACACACTTTCCTAAAACAGCATTACTCTCAGCATGACATGGAACAGTAAATAGAAAAGCCTTTAAAATCAGTGTGGTGAGATGATCAACCTCTGTTTTATTAAGCATGCAAGCAGGTTTGCTTCTTAATATGCTACGTACCAAACAAAGAAGAGTCTCAACACTGCTAAAATCCACAGCCACTCTGCAACCACAGGCCTCAGATTTGAGGTAGTCCATACACAGACTCAAAAGATGCTTGCTTATTTTAATGACAGTGCAAGATGCAACGTTTAGGCTTTTAAAGTTCTCAATCAAACTACAGCAGAGAATGGCAGTAAATAACCCGCAGTCACTGAAGCGGGATATATGGTTCTGTACAGAGGCCATCAAAACACCTAACACAGGATGACTGACAGGAAGACGACTGAGCATAGCTGAAGATTGTGAAGTTGTACAAACATAGCCTCCCATACCATTGTGGAGCTGTTTGAGCCGACCAGCAGGACCATAGCAAGATTTTAATATTCCACTCAGCAGGGACAGTGACCGACTAACTCCATCTTTAGTTAAAGGGTCAGTAATAAATAACGAAGGCTTTTTAGCTTCAAGACGAGACATTTTCAAAGTAAGACTTTAATTCTGGCCAACAAAACAGATTTCATTTTTCCTCGGATCTATAATTCATAGCACTTTTAAAATTTAAAGTAGAACATTTGAATTCTTTGCAACTAAGGATCATTTTAAAGGTGAGACAGTGCATACAGTACAATAACAACATTCCCCGTGACTACTCAGGATCTAGCTCTTAAAATGAGGTTTAAAATCCTATTGTGAAATTGATACACAACAACAGCAGCAAACTATTTCACTCATGACGATCTTTTTTAGCTTCTGAATGCGAGTGAGCAGACTTTTTTGCAACAAAGTTTACAAGCATGCTTCCAAAATGGACACCTATAACTGACAGTCCCACCACAAGCAGAAAGTTCTTTCTATTCCAGTTAGCTTTCCTCATCTCTTCTTCTGGCAAAACACAGATGAAAAGCTCCAGAGCTAGTCATACCTACAGTAAAACAGAAAAAGGTATTAGGATAATCTTACGACAGAATTGCGTAACTAGAACTGCTATATTATGTTTAACAAAAAAAACTCAAGTAAGGACAATCACAGAATCATTTAGGTTGGAAAAAACCTTTAAGATCATCAAGTCCAACTGTTAACCCAGCACTACCAAGTCCACCTCTAAACCATGCCCCCAGGACCTCATCTACACATCTTTTAAATACTCCAGGGATGGTGACTCCACCACTTCCCTGGGCAGCTTATTCCAATGCTCGACCAACCTTTGGGGAAAGAAATTTTTCTTAATACCCAATATAAAACTCCTCTGGAGCAGCTCGTGGCCATTTCCTCTTGTTCTATCACTTATTACTTGGGAAAAGAGACCAATCCTCACCTTGCTACAGCCTCCTTTCAGGCAGCTGAAGAGACCAAGGAGGCCTCCCCTAAACTTTGTTTTTTCCAGGCTAAACAACCCCAGTTCCTTCAGCCGTTCCTCACCACCCTCGTGCTCTGGACCCTTTATCAGCTTTGTTGCCCTCCTCTGGACCTGCTCCAGCACCTCAGTATCTCTCTTATTGTGCCGGGCCCAGAACCGAACACAGGGTTCGAGATGCGGCCTCACCAGTGCCCAGCACAGGGGGATGATCACTGCCCTGGCCCTGCTGCCACACTGGTGCTGCTACAGGCCAGGATGCTGTTGGCCTTCTTGGCTGCCTGGGCAAACTGCTGCCAACCCACACTCCCAGGTCCTTTTCTGCTGAGCAGCTTTCCAGCCACTCTTCCCCAAGCCCGCACCATTGAATGGAGTTGTTGTAACCGAAATGCAGGACCTAGTTCCGAGACCTGAACCTCATACAATTACCTATATACGATATAACGCTTTTTAATAAAAAAAAAAACTATACAATATATATTACAAAGCATACAGTACACTAATTTTACGCATCTTTTAATGACTTCAATACTGACCACCAGTTTCTATACTGTTTTACCTGTGGGTCTATAAGTAACAGGCCACTATAAACCACATTAAATTGTATGGAAGTGTCGAAACTATAGCGATGTTAACCTGGTTATACTCAAGAACAAAACAGCTGAACTAAGCAGCACTGCTTCACAGGCAACCACTTTGGAAACAAGAAGCTTTTAATGTTCAAACAACTTGAAATCCCTGCCTCTGGAAGATCAGTTTCTCACTTAAAAATGCACAACAATATCGTTTTCCAGATTTTAAACACTTCAAAACTTAAAGGGATATTCCTTTACATTTCTATGTAATAGCTAGAGTATTCAGACTTCTCTTGCACTTAGTTTCATTTTCTATTGTAATTACCATCCCTACTAACAACACACAATATGTTACTGTGTCACAATTATTTCTGGGCAGTTTTGAACCTGAAAGGACACTGTTGAATTCGAGTTTGTTTTGAAATATCTTTAAGACCTAAAACATCACTTAATTTATCCTATCACATGGGATTTAGTGGTAGTTTTCAAACATATATGATGCATTTTTGGGGTTCATGCAACTCCCAGATTAACTGTTGCAAAAAAAAACCATGAAATTCTGGAAGGCTAAAGTTGGAGCAGCAACACTGTATCTGTTAGAAAATCTTCATTTAATCAACTCATTTCCTGCCTCAAAGATACAGATACAACTAATTCGGCAACTTACCCACAGTACATAGCTCTAATGCTACTTCTCTTTATTTTTGCGATCGTTTTGCAACACGTATGCCACAATCCCAGGTTCTGGAACAACCTCCACTGTCTTCACTTGGAAAAGAGGGCTGGACTTGATATGAAACCAGCCCCAGTGCACCAGCCCAAGGCCAACTCCCATAACAATGAGAACTTTGTAGTCCTTCCAGATGGTTTTAAGACCCATTTCAAACTGGCATCTACCTAGGTAAAGATAATTTATTATTTTAAATATACTCTAGAAATCCTCCTTCTATTCTATAATAACAGCACAGATGAACCTGAACCTTGATATCATTAATTACAGTGCAGCAGATGATTAAAACACAAAAAAACACAAGAAAGTCTTACTTTGTGAACTTTAAAAAGTAAAAAAAAGCCATGAAAATAATATAAATTCAGATATCTTGAACTGTTAACTGCTGCATTTGCTTCAAGCTTTGGCATGCTAAATCGTAAATGTAAGAAAGTTTTATTTAATTACAAATGTTACTGCTTCAGATAGTAAATATTCTAATTACAAGTGTTACTGCCTCAGTAAAGATTTGAGGTCTAAACTAAAGCAATTTCAAAATACCCCACTTTTCCCTCCCATAGTTAGCAACATTCAGTGAACGAGTTCCTAACAGAATATGGGACTTGCAACTCGCAGGCCAAAGCTGCACTGCTTCTCACATCACTTTGTGATGCCTGGAGTAGCAGTTACACCCAGCTACCTTAACTCCTGCTCTTCAGAGGTACAACAGTATCGGTACAAACACAATTAACCCGCCCTTACATAAAAAAGATGCATAAAACTGTACTTCCCACAGGATTTCATTAAGAAATACCTACAACAAGGGAAAAAAAGCATACATACTCAGGTTTTATATCAAAATAACGTCTTTAAATGGCTACAGAGAGTCAATGTTCCTACACCCGCCCAACTTCATCCACCTGCAGGAGCACCGCGTCCTACCCCTCCACCATGCCGTGGGGATGTCCCAGCTCGGCACCACTTGTCACACAAGGCAAAGGAGACTCCAAAGTCACGGAGCCGGCCGGTAGGCGTAGGACAGCCGCGCTCCGGCTGGAAGGTGCTGAGGAGAGGCTGAGGCGAGGGAAGGCGAGGCGGTGCGGCGCGACGCGGCCCGGCCCGGCCCAGCAGCCCGTCCTGTGACTGACGGCAGGAACTCCACAGTCCCCAGCCCGCCGTCCCCCGCGTCCCAACGACCTTTGCTGCGCGGGCGCCTGAGAGGCCCTGAGACGGCTGAGGCGGAGGGAACGGCGCACCGGAGGCTCCCTCGCACAGGAAGAGGCTGCGGGTGAGGAAGGGGCTGCCCGGCCGCAACCCTAAAGCTCACCTGGGCTCCGGCCCCAGGCAAGCGAGGGGAGGACTCAACTTCCCGACAGCCCCCGCGTCCAAACCTCCCAACAGCCGGAAGCGGCGCTGCGCAGCCCGGAAACGCGGCTCTCGCTCGCCATTGGATGAGCCGTGCGTCACGTGCCCACGATCTCCCTGGAAGACCTCAGCCGCCCGTTTGCGGCTGCGTCGGCGGCCATTTTGCGTTCGGGCAGGGTAGGGCGGGCGGTGGCTACAGCCGGCGGCCATTTTGGATGGGGTCGTGCGTGAGGGCGGCGGAGCCGTTAGAAATCGGTGGGACAGGTATGGCGGGGCTGCGGCTCCAGCGTTGGCATTGCCCGGCTCGGACCCTCAGCTGGGGGGCTCAGGGGGGAGCGGCCGCGCCTTTATCTTCAGTCTCGCTTTCCTCCCTGTGTGAGGGGATGGTCTGAGGGAGCGGCTGTTGCTGTGGTGGTGGCGGTTCTTGAGGCGCCGCCCCTCCCGCCAGCACCCCCTCCCGGCCCGGTGAGGAGCGAGCTCGAAATGCTGTCTAGGCGTAAAACTCGTGCAATTATGAATGATTGAGGTTGGAAGATGGTAACGGGGCTGGAGCACCTCCCATACGAAGAGAGGCTGAGAAAATTGGGGCTGTTTAGCCTGGGTGAGAGAAGCTGTGTGGAGACCTTAGAGCAGCTTCCAGTATCTGAAGGGAGCCTACAAGGATGCCGGAGAGGGACTCCTCATCAGGGACTGCAGTGATAGGACAAGTGGTGATGGGTTTAAACTGAAACAGGGGAAGTTCAGGTTAGATACAAGGAAGAAGTTATTTACTGAGAGGGTGGTGAGGCACTGGAACAGGCTGGCCAGAGCAGTGGTAGATGCCCCATCCCTGTTGCCCTGACCAAAACAAATTCAGGAACGCTTACCTGGCTTCAATTATTCTTTCAGGTGTTCCCTTCTGTACCTTTTCTGTATTAACTCTTCTTCCCTATCCCCCCTATTCCTGCAATCACTGTCAAGAATATCCTGTCATATCCATGTGTTAATGGATGGTTTGTTTTCAATTTTCTGTGTAGTTGCAAAGCTTGCAACAGTAGTCAAAATACAAGTTTTTAATATCCAATTTCCATACAGATATTAGCATAACATTTTTGACTTTTTACGGAACAGCTGAATGCAGTGTTCATTGAACTGTTCTATGAAACTTACAAGGAAAACTAAATGCGTTCAGCAATGCAAAAAGATAATAGCCTGTAATAAGCACTCTGGTGTTCCTCTGAATCTCTCATTCCTCTAGTTCTATGCGGTTGTGTGGTGAATGGGTAACAGTTTTGAAACTGAGTTGTTGAAAGGTGAATTGGCAGTTCATGAATGAAGGAGTGTAGACAACAATGAGCTAGAAATATACTAACTGGTTGGAAGAACAGTCTCCAAAGCTTGAGTGAAAGCATTGGAAACAGTGGGCCTAAAATTTCTGAAACTGCAGAATGTGAAGATTTTGATATGTCTCTTTATGAACTGTGTGAGTAGCTGAGTTACTTATCCCGCTTATCCCATATTGCTTATCCCAAGCTTTGGGTCAGCTGTCAGAAACTGAGGAGTGTTGGGCCTGAGCTGGACAGTATTTGGCTCCAATACCCAAGGACTGAAAGATTCTGAAAATTCTCTTTTATGTTGTGATAACTAATTTTGGACTACAAAAATACTTAATACGAACTTATTTTAGAGAGTTCTTTATAATTGACATTTGTGTTATTGTCTCTTTTTCAGGTGCCCACTTCACCCCACATGTGATAACGACACCCAAAGATGTGCAGCATGTGAACGGTTTGCAGCTGCTGTGTTAGTAGCAGTTTTCAGTTCCTGATTCCCACTGTGTTCCAAATTTGCTTGCCACTGGAAGCTGCTTCTTAGCTAAGGTAAGATGCTGTTCATCAGCTGGCAAAAAACACTTCAGCTGACTCTCTGGGAGGCCATGTTCCACTTCATGTCAAATTTAGGATTATGAAGCACGTCTCGCTCTAGCTGCAGGAAACCTATGTGTTTAATTGTAGACCATGTTTTCTTGTACGGGCTCTCCATCAAAAATGTAATGTTGAAATATTGCAAATACCATGTCAAGTTGTTTTTTTTTTTTTGATACAGAAATACATAGAGTTTCTGTGAGGAGTTTTTCTGCCTTATTTGCTTCTTTTCATATTTCCGTTTGTACAATTTCCTTTAGAGGTTTGAAACAGATATAGTATTCCATGAAACTGAGTCTTGTTACCAAATAGTAGCTATTGTAAGAGTTGTATTTCTTGTGGGTTTTGTTGTTGTTTTTTCACCACAGGAAATGGCAAAGTATTTTGGGTCTTGCTGCTTTTTTTTCCTTGCACAATTAAAAGGAGTTTTTCCTATCTTTTTTATGTCTTAATATTGGGTGTTTTTTCATTTGTGATAGTTCAGTGACTTTCCTGGTGGTTCACACATTACGTGTATTCTTCTTGTTTATCTAAGGATTTGCTTACATTCATTCTGTCTGCCGCATTTCCTTTGTCTTTATGGTCAATGCAAAGAATAGGGCAGTTGGCAAGTTCCCAAAGTCGCTTTACTCCCATGAAAAGCAAATTAAACCCGAGGTAACTTCTCTTGTGTGTATTTTCCCCTTTTTTCCTTTTGTCATTTTGTAAGTTGGATTTGGAGCAGATTTCTGCCTGCCAACAGTCCTTCTCACATTAATAGTAGCACACTTGTAACAGTAGTATTCTGGATGGTGAATTGTTATGAAAAAGATATTGGTGATGCCAGGATAAGTTCAGCTTATTCATCCATGTGCTTTGTTTGTTCTCAAGCAGGACATGAGAGTTTGGAGATGATACTCTGGGATGTTTTGTTGCCAGTCTCCTTACTATTGCTACTGTAAGGATTAATGATGAAACATTAGCAGTCTAAATATTGCTCTCAGATCCTGGGCCTGCAGCACCGTTGTGAATTGTATGCCATATGCAGCTCAAAAATTACATACGATCTAGGTAAATTATTTTCCTGAAAGCATGAGGCAAAGTACTTTGTGTTCTACCATATCCCAAGGTGTACAGGTAATTCTGTGAAAGTGGTAGGTTTATTCAGTGTTGTCATTGCTGTCATAGGAGCTCTTAGTTGATGGTGTGCTCCACAGCAAGCTGTGTTTGTAATTACACGTTTCCTAACTTCAGGCTATGTTTCTAGCTGCTGGGAGAAGAGACTAGAGCATTTAACACTCTCCTGCTTTTTGATATTTCTTGCCACTGTTTTTTCTATTTTTTATTATTCCTTTTTTTTTTTGTTGGGAGGAGGAGGTAGGGATAATTAGTAAAGTTCTAGATACAGCCTTTTATTAAAAAGCTAATCCAGAAATTCCTGAAATGCTGCCAAGACCTTTTGTTTTTAGATTCTGGTGAGTTGCGCATGTCCAGGTCTTATGGTGTTTCTAAAGGTCTGTGATAGATCTTGCTGTTTGCTTTTTGCATGATGGGGTGGTTAGTCCTGCCATGGAGTTCTTGAACACTAGAAATACGTAGAATCATAGAACAGTTTGGGTTGGAAAGGACCTTAATATCATCCAGTTCCAACCCCCCTGCCATGGGCAGGGACACCTCACACTAAACCATGTCACCTAAGGCTCTGTCCAACCTGGCCTTGAACACCACCAGGGATGGAGCATTCACAGCCTCCCTGGGCAACCCATTCCAGTACCTCACCACCATAACAGGAAAGAATCTCCTCCTTATATCCAACCTAAACTTCCCCCGAAGCTGGCTCATGTTCATTTTCTCATAGACCAACACCCCCAAGTCCTTCTCTGCAGGGCTGCTCTGAATCTCTTGTCTGCCCAGCCTGTAGCTGTGCCTGGGATTGCTCCAACCCAGGTGTAGGACCTTGCACTTGTCATGGTTAAACCTCATGAGGTTGGCATCAGCCCACCTCACAAGTGTGTCAAGGTCCCTCTGGGTGGCATTCCTTCCCTCCAGGGTATCAACCGAACCACACAGCTCGGTGTCATCGGCAAACTTGCTGAGGGCGCACTCAATCCCACTGTCCATGTCAGCGACCAAGATGTTAAACAAGACCGGTCCCAACCCCGATCCCTGAGGGACACCACTCGTTACTGGTCTCCAGCCGGACATTGAGCCATTGACCACAACTCTCTGTGTGCGGCCATCCAGCCAGTTCTTTATCCACCGAGTGGTCCATCCATCAAATTGATGTCTCTCCAATTTAGAGACAAGGATGTCGTGTGGGACAGCTTCGAACGCTTTACACAAGTCCAGGTAGATGACATCAACTGCTCTACCCCTGTCCATCAGTTCTGTAGCCCCATCATAGAAGGCCACCACATTGGTCAGGCAGGATTTCCCCTTAGTGAAGCCATGCTGGCTGTCACCAAGCACCTTGTTGTTTTTCATGTGCCTTAGCATGCCTTCCAGGAGAATCTGCTCCAAGATTTTGCCAGGCACAGAGGTGAGACTGACTGGTCTGTAATTCCCTGGGTCATCCCCTTTCCCCTTCTTGAAAATGGGGGTTATATTTCCCTTTTTCCAGTCATCAGGAACTTCACCTGACTGCCACAATTTTTCAATTATGATGGCCAGTGGCTTAGCAACTTCGCTTGCCAGCTCCTTCAGGACCCACGGATGGATTTCGTCAAGTCCCATGGACTTGTGTACATTCAAGTTCTTAAGATGGTCTCGAACCAGATCCTCTCCTACAGTGGGCCTAGGGTCTTCATTCTCACAGTTCCTGCATGTGCCTTCCAAGACTTGGGTGGTGCGATCAGAGCATTAAACAGTGTACAGCTTGTACACCGTTACAAGGAAGTCAGAACCACACTTGATTTTCACCTGATGGCTGTCATTTCCCTTTAGCATCTCTTCTGACTTAATTCTAGGATCTGCTGTTTCAAGAATTTCTGAGTTTTATCTCCTCCTAAGATTGCTCTTACAGTTGCTAGACTATAGGGGTGCTTCTATAGATAAGTACCTTAGTACCTGCTAGAATTGAAATACGGTGTCCCAAGCGGTCCAGAACACTGTTCCTTACATTGTGTATCTTGAAATTACTGTTGGTAATGCTGACAGAATTTACTCTGATACAGAGAAGCTTGCAGGGCTGTTTTGTGCAAGGGAGAATGATAGTTGAGTGGCACAAGGCATGGTATGCCAACTTCTCTCTGTGTGACTTCTGTTTGAAAATCAGTTTCCTCTCTATAACTTTCTGCTTACTGTTAACTGTGCAGCTGATAAAAGCTCTAAGTTTAAACTTTTTCAGAACATAGTTGAAACATTTTATTAAATGTATTAAACTTTATTTTCAGTAGTTACTTGCAGAATGGTTCTTATGTCAGACTCATTTTAACCTGGTTACAGTAACAACCAATTTGCTTCTCACTGTTCACAATCCTTTTACTATTTCTGTTTCTTACTGCTTGGATATTGGTATGATATAAAAAAAAATAAAATCATTGAAGTAGTTGGAAGTTTTCCTTGACTCAGTATATAGAATTGAGCCCTTGTTACTTTCATGTATTCTTACAGTTCTTTTGAAATCAGAGGTCTCAGTGTTTGGATATTTGGAAGGGAAGGACTGCACAGAAGTGTTTGTTTCTTTAGTTCAAAACGATTACTGTTGAATCTTAATGTCAGAATTAAGCTGTGTAGTTGTAAAGTGGATCTTTATCTTGTTTTGCACTTTTTAAAAGTTTAGTAAGGATAGTGACTGCATTTCATTATGTTCAAGTGTAGTGGCTGATGGAGATGCGTATCACCAGCCTGACTTGTAACATGAAAGTCTGACAGCTCTATCTCAGTACTTCACAATAAGTTGAAGTATGCAGTGAGGAATTGTATGTCTTTGTACATTCTTAATATTTTCCTAGTACGCAGTGAGGAATTGTATGTCTTTGTGCATTCTTAATATTTTCCTATGTCATCTCTTACAAAACTGACAATTTTTGTATATCTTACCATGAGATTAATCCCTTAGGAAAAGGAAACTTTGGAGTGTAGAAGGCAGCTCTAAGTGTAGTTTCTGTTGCATGTTACCTGTTGCAGGCAGCAGCTACTGACACTTACTTTGTTACTTGATTTTGAAGCTTGAGCTGTGATGTTTGGGTGCGTACATCTGCCATTATACTGAAACCCTTGTTCACCTGGTTTTCTGTTGAAGCCGAGGTTCTTCCCTGCCTGTTGCCGGCTGTTCCTGTCCTGTGTGAAAATAAAATGTTATTGTATTTTTATTTTTTTTAATTCCTGGGTTTTCGTAGGTATAATTTGGTACCATAGGGCCCATTCCATGTCTGCCTGAATCCCAACCTTGTGGGGTTAGCAGGAAGGACTTTCATCTATTTAACCTAATTTTCTACCTTTTGACAAGTGAATCTTTAGCTACCATTTCTGTGGTAGTTAAACCCAGCCGTTTCAGTGCTGTGACCACAACTAGTGTCAGTTTATGGGAGGAGAAAGGGGGGAATAAAAAAGCAGCTAAAAACCTGTAATCCAGGTAGAGTTTTTCCTCTAGTGCTTATCACTTTTAATTGATGTTTTTACAGGACCAGCCTACACTGACCTATCATGGCATCCAACAAGTTTGTCATTAAGGTAAGCTGCATGTCATAGCTTTCATTGCAAAAAAAAAAAAACCCAAACATCTGTTATACTGCTTAGAATGTGTGTGCATTAGTTTTAAAAGTTTATGGTTAAGAGGAGCGTTCTTCAGGCTTTGGCCATAGTAGCATATTTTGCATCAGCTTTCCTTTGGTTTTGGAAGCAAACTTTGTGAATTGCTGCTGTATTGTGGCAGAGTGTGTCTGAAGTCAGCTGAAGATTAAAATCATGTTACTAAAAATGATCGCTTGTGTAGTTTGAATTAGAAACTGCATGAATTTTTCGTTAAACACTATTTGCTACCTGAAATAAAATTTAGGGTTGATTCTTGCTGTAATCTCACAGTATTATTTGTGTACGTCCCAGATAATCTAAGAGTTCTTGGTCTAAGGCACAGTAATGTTCTTCAACTGTTTATCACAGTCAACTCTTTATTTGCATCTTTTTTGCCTCTTAGCCCGTTTTTCAGGCAGTAGCTGTCTTGCATCCAGTAAAATTACATATAGTAAAATGGCATTGCAATTTATTTTGCAAACAGCCTCTGACTTTTGGATATGTATTTGAAGAGCAGTGCTTTTCAAAACACTCTGTAATGAACATAGCACTTCATAATTCTTCTAGTGTAACTATATCAGTTTACCAAAAAACAAAACTAATTATTCAGTAAAAATTGTGAACTTTCTCTTTAGGACCTTTTATCTTGTTTCTGTGTTCTTGTATGTCTAGGGTAGTTTAGGTAATGCATACATTTCAAAGTGATTAGCACAATTTATTATTCTCTTGAAAATGTGAGGGTTTTTTGCAAGAGGTTTTTTTTTTTCACAGAATAGACTTTTTCCTCTGGAAGAACTTGGGGTTTTTGGAGCATGGCTACAAAACCCATCCTGACTGATCAGCTGTTGAAATTTGGTTTTGTGGGTAACCAACCTGTTCAGAAAGCAGACCAAACAATTTTTGTGTGCTCTGTGTTCTTTTCCAAGTAAAAGTGCTGCCATTTAGTGGGACAAGTGCTTTAATTTTTTTTTTTACACATGAACACGATTGTCAACCTCAAATTGACAGTATCGTGTCTGTACTATTCAGTGCTTCTGAACTGATAAAGGAGTTAGGAGAAACACTGTTGATCTTGAGCATATTTTAGCAGATACACTGAGTCTATATGCCACTGATGTTGGTAACAACAGGAGCTGAGGCTGAAGGTGTTTTTTTTCAGCTGAGAACTCTTGATATCATAAATTTTGATGTAAGTGCCCAAGAAAACAAGTAGTGTGAATTTGAAGTAATCTTCACCAGATAAAAAGCCTGAAGACACTTGGTTAATGACTTGCATAAATGAACCAGCTTGCTGGTTCAGCATAAACACTTGGTTGGCATTCAGCATGTTCCCTGGCAATCGCTGAGTAATTTAACATCACTGACTGAGCAAATGGATAGGTTCTCACTGAGCATACGTTTGTAGGGAAGCAGTATTGCAGATAAACTTTTGAGAGTGCTAGTGAGATAGAACTTTATTTGCTTTCTGGTAGGATTTGAGAAATGAGAGTAAGTTTTTTCATGTACTGCATGCTGAAAATTAGTTTTGCCTTGACTAAAATATATGAAATGTGTAAATATGTGAAAAGCTGGTTGGAATTCACTTTGTGCACAGGTGTGTAGCGTTTTGCATGTTAGATCAGGGATTTTGTATGTAAACTTTTGCTTCCTTACATTCACTGGATTTGTGTTCAATGTGAATATTTCCTTTTTCAAGACTGTTCAATTTTCACATAAACTTTTCAAGGAAGATCCCTTTTCAGAAGCTTCTTCATTAAAAGGAAGAACATACTTTCATCCCTCTGCAGGGGGAATATAGAGACCTTGTTAATTTAAGGTTCCTTATGTTTGAAATTGATAGGTGTATTTTACTGAGTTTGAAAAGGTTTATTCATGCCCTGTATTTTACGTTCTCTACTTTTAAGCTTTTAGATTTTGTAAGCAACTCTTGTGTTAATCTGTTTGGTAAGGGAGCAAAAAGTGAAGCTTATGGGTCTTTCAAGCCTTAACTGATGGGAACGTCATTGAGAGGGAAACACCTATCGTGTTTGATGGCTTTGCTTCAGAATGTTTTATAGAATCTCTCTGCCTCCAGTGTAATGGTCAGTTATTGTCAGTAGAGGGAGTAGTTGGCCTATTTTTGAAAGGCGAGCCTAAGCTTGGTTTTATGGACAATTAAGAGCTATTGAAATAAAATAATTGATTCAGTAAAATAGCTTTAAACCTTAATATGAAAACTGTAGTTAGGTCCTAAGCACACTTTCTTCACTTGCCAAGTGGCTGGATGCCACAGTGTTGTGATATGCAATAGATAATATTTGATGCAAGTTAATTTGATCAGCAATTTTCGGTTTTGAGGGTATTGATACTTCATAAAGTTCTGCATGGTGAAATACCCCCGAATCTGGAAAATAAGACATATGAATTTAATTAAGCTTTCTGTGTGTGTTGCTATAATATTTTATTGCTGTTCTGAGAAATAAATCTTAACTTTAATTGGTGAGGCTTAAAGCAAAATCATGAGGTCTATATGGATTTGAAAAATAATATCACTAGGGTCTTGTTTAAAACTTTGGACAAACTAGAAAGAATTGCTTTTCCAGAATTGTGTAAATTGACTTTATTCATGCCAAGTTGCAGAACTAAATATAGTATTTTTTATGGCTGTAATAGAAAAACTTCATTTACTGTTTTCTGCAATTCTTTCATTTGCCAGATACTGAAGACTTTTAAGTTGTTACTGCATTTCAATAGCTCCATGCAAAGGGAAGTTTTTTTTTTTTACTTTGCACTTTTCTACTTTGAGAAATTAAGAGCTCTGTTCTGTCTCAGATTTGTAAACATTTGCTAGCACATATCTTAGATTAAAATAGTTATAGTGTCAATGTTCCCTCCATCATCTAGCACACTCTGCAATCTATTTGTCAGCAGTGTTGTTCCTTATCAGTTTAAATTATTGCATGCTGGAAGTGAATAGGAAACATTTTGGTCCTTCCTACTTCAGACTTTCTGCTTTAAATTGTAAGTTGCTCTGAAGCAGCAAGTGTGTTTTTCTGTTTCATGTTGGGAATTAAGATGGAAGTACTGGAAATGATCGAACAGGAAGATGACAGTATGGCTGTAACGTGGCCAATTTTCCCCTTCATTTTCCTTGCGTTTGTATCCTTGATGTTTTTTATGTTGATGCATCTTAATGTAATCATTAAGATACTGATTTATAGCCAAGACATCTTAACATCTGTCTTTACATATCTTAGAATGCTTCATGCAAGAAAGTGTGCATAGAAAAAATGTTGATTATAGGCCCTAACTGTAGGTAGAAGGAAATGGAAAGATCATCTTCCTGTCAGCCAGTATGCTAACATGTATTTACAGTGCTCTATAGGTAATTTTAGTCTCTGTTCACAGATACGTAGAAGGTGTTACTGTCTTCCCTCTGGATCAAGAAAATGAGCAGTTTATTTTGAAGGGGCCTTTTTTGCTATTTCCATGCATGTTTAATCATGTTAATGGGTTTCTAATGCTAAAACTTCACCATTTCTCTGGCCTTTCCATGCTTTCTTTTTTTTAGTTACTAGTTATAATGTAATATAGCAATAGTATGTCAGAAATGATTTCTGTATCAGATAGGCCTGTTTGGATGGTGCTTACATGAATCTAAGTGGGTTAGACAGATTAAAGTTCACACTTCTGTGAAGTACGTGCTCTGAATAGAAACACCTATTTCTGTACATGTTTTGCTGTGTGAGAAAGTGGTGTGCTTATGCTTCTTGCAAGTTGGTTGGAGAGAAGAAAAACCTAGGGAGATGAGTAGGTTTTCTTACCTATATTTTTTTATTTTTTCTGATCTCTTATGGTGAGTAATGGAATATAATAAATGCATTTTACTGCTAGATGAAGTCCATAGATACATGAAAGCAGTGTTTCCACTATTGATATTTATCCCTCTGACTTTCAATTCCTTTCTCCTTCTGCTAGCACTTTAATCTCTCAACTCTCTATCCACTCATCATTTCCCTAGGCTTGAAAATTAAGGAATATTGTTTAAAATTACTTTTCCCTATGTTGTGACTGCTCAGAGTTACTAGATTGATACTACAGATGCTTTACTTATATACATAGCTTTGAACTCTCTAGCCTGAGAGTTAGATTTTTCTAGAGATTGCTTAAAATACCTAATAAATACAATATTTTCTGATGTCCCTTTCTTTTCCCCATTGCAAAACTGAGATATTTGTATGTGAAATGGAGTAACCTGGTCTAGCAGAAGGTATTCCTGCCCATTGCAGGGTGGTTGGAACTAGATGAGTTTTAAGGTCCCTTCCAACCCAAACCCTTCTGTGAAATTCCTGTAGTTGGAATACTCACAAATGTTTCAGTACAAATGTGCTAATATTAGGTGTTATGCAATTAGGTAGAATTTGTACAAGTATCTTAAATCTTAAAAGTAAGATACTGGTGTTCTCTAAGCTGATTAAAGGTTATTGAATTTTATGTGAACTGTGTGTTTTTATATTGGCTTTTTTGGTCTTTGAAAGTGAAGAAATAGCTATATTAACCATTAAATAGTTATTTTCTGGAGATGGAGTTCTCCTGGAGTGGCATTGCTCAGAACAGCTATAAATACAGGTGGTTGGAATTGTTATTACCAAATAACATCATACACTTCACTCAGCTGTGATGTTCATTCTTATTTGAATGCATAAAATACGATACTTCTCTGAAAGGGCTTAGAAGTTTTAAGGAGAAGGTAAAAAGAGACTGTGGGGCAGGGGGAATATGATTTAAAATAGGAAGTAGAAAACAGTAATAATGTGTGGAGGGACACCTATTTAGTTCTGTTTCTTAACTCTGCATTTAATTCCCAATTTCATGGGACCAGATATGGGATGATTAAAGTGATGAGTATATAAGTTCCAGAAGAAAGAAAAGATGAAGGGGGGGGGGGGGGGGGGATTAAG